ATTTAGAATATCTATTTAAAGATCTAAATATATTATAATTTATTATAAAAAGAATTATATCTATCTCATCAAACACAAAAATGAAAAGTTATTTCGCCATTGCTGCAACTTCAGTTCTCTTGACCACTGCTTAAGCACAAAGATCAGCATTTGTTGAAGATGCTTAAGATATTAGACACATTTAAGAAGATTTTAGACATTTGAAATAGCATTAGTAAAATATCGGAGTAATTCTTGGGGAATTGAGGAAATCGTAGTTAGCAAAGTAACAAATCTAAATAAGAAGATCTGCCTCGCAAACACCATATGATCCAAACGTTCAATTCTTCATTCCAAAGATTCCTAAGGAAGCCATCTCTAAAGGAATAGAGATCATTGATGATTTTAAGGATATTTACCAAACCATTAAGTAAGCAAACTAAAAGCCATAAGCCTAACCTCAGCCATAAGTATTACCTAAGCCTTAACCTGAGCCATAAGTATAACCATAACAAAAAGTGCCACATTAACCTACCTAATTAATTCCAGAGATTTAACCAAAATAACAAGTTATGCCCAAACCGAAAGACTAAACAAAAGTCCAACCATAGAAAAAACCCGCTAAGCAAAGCATATAAGATGAATAATAATATATCCCAAAACCAAAAGATCAAACTAAACCTGTGCATCATAAGAAATAAAAAAAGAATTCACAACCATCTTACACAATTTCAGACTATAGTTTTGTAGAGCCTCTTGACAATGGAGAGACTTTTGGCTTTGAGGAGAATATTTTTGAGTAAGAACCAATGTATTTAAATGCTTGGAAAAAGGACCAAGATGTTCAATATGATGACTTTAATAATGTAAGAAGCAATTAAAACAATGATATTCTCTACGAATTCGCTGATCTTGAAAGAGCTGACAAATTCTTGTCACATTCTAATTCTAACTAATAGAGACTCAATCAGGTTGCATATTGATTAGATTAATGGTTTTGATATTTCTCAATATTATCTTTAACAAATGCTTTTAGATTTGATTTAACTTTTTCAACTGAATCTCAAGTTAATAATAAACGGGGTTTTGGGGTTTTGGGGTTTTGGGG